TCTGGCACCAGCAGCCCTGCTGTGCCCTGGAACCCCAGCTCAGGTTCTAAAGGCTCCTCATTTACCCTCATTAAGCTGTCAACCTCGAGTCCATGCCAGGCCATAGGGCAGAGGGAGAGGGTCACAATTACCAGAGCAGCCACCTTGGCAGGCTGTGCTTGTCCTGAGGTCTCTGCCCACCCTCCAACCCCCAACCTGACTTCCCAACTCCTGCCTTAAGACAGGAGAATGATTGTATGACTTTAGATGTGGCACTTTGACTACTTCTTGCCTCAGTTTCTCATTTTAAATTTAAGATGTGCCTATAGGTAGGGTCTGGGGGGTGATTAGCACAAGGCATGATCTGAATATCTGAGCTGGTGTTCCTGTTTGTGTTACCCATTCTCCATTTCCCAGCCACCGCCACCACCACCACCACCCGCCCCCCAGGGTTGGGCTTCTTTGACCTCCAGCCCTTAGTTTTGGTTGTCCACCAGCTCTACTTGGGAGGGAACTGACCTGCAGCTGCTAGCAAAGTCGGCCCTGGGCATCTGATACTCTATAAATAACCAAGGCTCAGTACAGCTGGAGGCAGGACTGGAAACCCAAGGAGCTGGATGGAGGGGTAAATGGGGGGCAGGGAGACAGTTGGGGCACAGGGCCAGCAATAGATAGGAAATGCAGCCCAATTTTATAGTGTGACCTTGAACACAGCAGTTAATTTACACTGTGCCTCAGTTTCTCCCTTCTCTCTTGTTTTCCATTTGTCCAGTGGGGACAGTGCTGTCTGTCCATTTGTTGGAGGGCAGCCAGCATCTATAGCTCAGAAGAACAGAAATGGCAGATGTCAGACAGTTGAGGACCCCAGGACTTTCCAAACTTTGCAGTCATTTGTTGGCATCCTACCACCAAGAAGAGTTTTTCCAGTCCATTGTCATCTCTCTAGAGCAGTCCCCCTAATGTCCCCCAGAGTCATTCTTACCAACACCAGTGCTGTGTCCAGAATGTTTCCACACTGAGTCACTGGGCCCTGTGCCCATGATGGGCTCTTGTTTTTCTAGGTGGCCAAGCTCCAGGTGCCTTTAGCACCTGGAGGACAAGCTATAATCCACTTTCTATATATGGTGATGTGTTTCTCCTGTCCTGCAGTGCTACCAGGGCCTGCCTTCTATACCCTCTGCCCAGTGCTGCCTGCCACCCGGCTCCTCCCTCCACTCCTTCTCCTATACTGGTCCTTTCTCCTTTCTGATCTTAAATTTCTATAGGGGTTTCACTGATTTTGTCTTGGAGAAAGAGATAGGGTTATCTAACATTTATAAAGGACGTAATCTATACAGGCAATGTATTCAAAATGTTTTGTCTATGTTACTTCACTGTTTCTCAAAAGTGGCTTATCATTAGAATCAATTGGGAACTAAAAAAACAAAAAAGATGTAAGATTCCCAAGCCCCCTCCCTGGAGATCTCAGTTCACTAAATCTAGCAGGGAGTTAGAAAACATTTAGTTTTCTGTACCTCCTTCATGGTGCTGTTGATTAATAGTGCATTATCTCAGAAGAGTCCTAAGGAGGAGCTGTGATTCTTAAGTCTGATTCATGAAGGAGGAAACTGAGGCTTAGGGAGGCTGAATTCATTGCTCAAGGTCACATAACAAGCGTCGAGTGGCTGAGCCATGGCTCAAAGATGACTCAGAGCCAGTGCTCTTAAAACCACATTACTGCTATCACCTTCCTTTGTGGGAGCCCGTCTTGCTCCACCTGCCTCTCTCTTCTCAGGGTATCCTCAGTTTTTAGGGATCTTCTCCAAAACCTCTACGGTTTTGCTTCCATATTAAAGACCAGAGTCTGAGGAGCTGTCACTTGTACTTCCTCCCCACTTGATATTGCCACGAATGCCCCTTTTAGCCTGGCTCCCCTCTTAAGTCCCTCGATGGGAGTCTGCCTGGCAGACTTTTGAATCTGTCATCAGCTGCTTTTAGAGGCGGCAGTCTGACTGTCTTGATTTTTCCCTACCCTCTTACCTGAGCCAGGCTCTGCCATGTAGGAATCAGGGCTGCCTCAGATTTGGTTTTGGTATTTGGAGGGTTCTCAAGAGTTAAGGAACTGACTATCTGGGTACTAACCATGCACAGGGGCAGAAGAGGCCCTACTGCAGGGGAGTGGAGCTAGTGGCAAATGCAAGTTTTCAGCTGGAATCCAGAGTCTGGACAAGATGGTTTCGATGGGAGGAAGACAAGCTGGACACCCAAAAGCCCGGAAGCCCAAGATTCAGGAGAAGATTCTTACTGTCATCCTCTGGAGCTTGGCAATAACTTATCTAAGGCAGACAAACCCTTTTGACCTCTGCCCTCTAACCCACAGGCTGAGGCAGATGTGGCTTCCCTGAACCGCCGCATTCAGCTAGTAGAGGAGGAGTTGGATCGGGCCCAGGAGCGCCTGGCTACAGCCCTGCAAAAGCTAGAGGAGGCTGAGAAGGCAGCTGATGAGAGCGAGAGGTGGGCTGGGGGCCCTGGAGGGAGGCACATCAGGAACTGCTCAGGGAGGCAGGCTTTCTCAGCTGGTGCAGACCCTACACGCACTTCTCTCCTTGCTTCTCAGAGGAATGAAGGTCATTGAAAACCGGGCCATGAAGGATGAGGAAAAGATGGAGCTACAGGAGATGCAGCTGAAGGAGGCCAAGCACATCGCTGAGGACTCAGACCGCAAATATGAGGAGGTAACAACCTTGCCCCACTTCCTTCCCACCCATAACCCCCAAGGGCGCAGTCGGTCACCGTTGACCTTCTTCCCTCTTCCACTTCCCCTCAGGTGGCCAGGAAGCTGGTGATCCTGGAAGGAGAGCTGGAGCGCTCAGAAGAGAGAGCTGAGGTGGCTGAGAGGTGAGGATGCCCTGGGGGAGGGAAGGGAACAGCAGAACTTGGTCTGAGCCAGTGGCTGTAGGGCATTATGCTCAGTGGGCAGGCAGTTTCCCACGCCTGGGGCCACAAGAACAGGTCTTATCCTCTGACCCATGCCTGCTGCCCTCAGCCGAGCCAGGCAGCTGGAGGAGGAACTTCGAACCATGGACCAGGCCCTCAAGTCGCTGATGGCCTCAGAGGAGGAGGTAGTAACCTCTCTGGATCTTTCTAGGCAATGGTGTTGTCTTACATGGCCTTCTCCTGGCTCAGCATCTCAGGCTGCTGTCTTTCTCCTGCATCTGGGGGGTGGGGTGGTGCTGGGGCCTCCAAACTCTGCCTGCTGTCACTCTCACCACTTGGCTCTCTCTTCTCTTCTCCCCCCCCCGTGCCACACCCACTGTCTCACCTCACTGTGCCCTCACATCCCACCTGCCACACACCCATGCAGTAAATGTGGGGACCTAGAGGAAGAGCTGAAAATTGTTACCAACAACTTGAAATCCCTGGAAGCGCAAGCTGACAAGGTAGAGGGGGCAGAGGGGCAGTGAGGATGGGGTCCTACAGGGAGGAGGGGAGGCTTCAGGTAGGTAGGATGGGTGCTCAATGAAGGCAAAGTCAGCAGGACCCTGAGGGGCTCAATGAAAGATTCGGAATCAAAGAGATGATTTACTGATGGTGTGTGTATGTCCCTTAAAGTATTCTACCAAAGAGGACAAATATGAAGAGGAGATCAAACTTCTGGAGGAGAAGCTGAAAGAGGTGAGCACTCTCTTCCATCCAGCTAGAGATTGCCTGTGGCAGGGAACTGGGGAGGAGGGGAGGAAAGGGTGACCTCTGGGAGGACCTTATTCTTTGCCATGTCCCCATCCTTTCATTATTCCCAGGCTGAGACCCGAGCAGAGTTTGCCGAAAGGTCTGTGGCAAAGTTGGAGAAAACCATCGATGACCTTGAAGGTAAAAGAAATGCTCCCTCACACCCATCACAGTCAGCCTGTCCCTTGTCCCATTGTACTTGCTAAGCTAGGGTGAACCATCCAGGACTCCACAGATTCTGGTGGGCTATGTCCACAATTCAAGGAATTGTGGCAGGCCACTCCAGTGCTTGTTCAACTTAAGAAGGAATTAGGATCACCTAGAGTGAAAAACAGACTCTTGGGGGGCTGAAGAGATGGCCCAGAGGTTAAGAGCACTGGCTGCTCTTGCAGAGGACCTGGGTTCAGTTCCCAGCACCTGCATGGTGGCTAACAACCATCTGTAGCTCTGGTTGAAGGGGATCTGACTCCTTCTGGCCTCCAAAACAGATTCTTGGGCCAGGGAAATGGCCCTATGGGTAAAGCACTTGTATACAAATGTGAGAACATGAGTTTGGATCCCCAGAACCCACGAAAAAGCTAGACACAGTGTGTGTCTGTGATCCAGTGCTCCTATGGTGAGATGGAAGGTGGAAACCAGAGAATGGGAAGCCCTTGAGGCAACCAGCCTGGTATGAACTGGTGATAAGACCCTGTCTCAAACAAGGTGAAAAGTGAGAACCAAAGACCAACATCCAAAGTTGTCATCTGACCTCTACACACATGCCAGGGCGGGTGCACTCGCTCACACACACACACACACACACACACACACACACACACACACACACACACACACGAAGATTCCTGAGGGCTGAAGTGGCAGAGTACATGACAGGCCGATTTGCGGGTGCACTCGCGCACACACACACACACACACACACACACACACACACACACACACACACGAAGATTCCTGAGGGCTGAAGTGGCAGAGTACATGACAGGCCGATTTTTAAAAATCTATAGATTCTGGATCCTGTCTCCAAGTGACTGCTGACTTTGGACTAGTAAATTAATTAATATATCTTTGAGACAGGTTCTTACTCTGTAGAGTAGACTGGCTTCAAACTTGGGCTGATCATCCTGGCTCTGCACAGAGTGCTGAGATTACAGGCATAGGCAACCAGCTCCCCGATGCTGATGCTACTGGTCTGCGGCCCATTAGTGCCTAGCACTAATCTAACAAATGCTATCTCCAAGGGCACCACAAGAGAATCATATTACACAGACACCTCCCATCCCTCCCGCAGTGCTGGGGATTGAACCGATGCCTCACATATGCTAGGCAGGTGCTCTGCCACTGAGTTATATCCCCAGACACTATTTGATTAAATATCAGGATTTACAAGATACTGTTAATGGAAGGTACTTCTTTAAGCTACACTTGGCACAAACAAACATCTAGATATTTGCTAGTCTGTGGTTATTTCTATTATCAACAATGTTGTTGGACCTAAGGTTGCTTTTCCTTTTGATTCGGATAACCCTTCATTTCCATTCATTTCCATGCCTCTTGCTTCTGATCTTCTCAGACAAGCAGGAATTTTATCTCCAACTTTAGGACTTAGACCTTTCTGGTCTGCACCCTTCCTTTCCCTCTTAAGCACTCGCCCCTGCCTGCTCAGAGCACTGCCCGCTGGTTCCTGGGAGATAGATGCTTCAGGGGAGGGTGGGAAGTTGGGGTGCAGAGAAGGACAAGGGAGATAGGGGTAGAGAAAGGGGAGGAGGAAGACTTAACTGCCATCTGGCCTGTTCTCTGGCCTCATTCTTTCTGTCCATCTCTCTGATACTATTTTTCTTTCCATCATTCTTTCTCTTCCTTTTCTCTTCCCTTTCTCCATTCCCTCTCCCCACACTCCCACCCGGTCCCCCTCCTCGGACTCCTCAGATGAAGTCTATGCACAGAAGATGAAGTACAAGGCCATCAGTGAGGAGCTAGACAACGCACTCAACGACATCACCTCCCTCTGAGCCCACAGAAGTGTGGCCTTGCAGGCCCCTATCTCTCCTCTCTTTCCATTCTCTCTGTGGGGAAGGGGCAGGCAGGAGGAGCACAAATTGGCAACATTGCATAGCCAGGTTGGGCACAACCTAGGGAGCACGTCCATCACTCCCACCACCCACTCTGGCTTTATCCTTCTACCTATCCACCACCCCTCTGCTGCTTAATAAACTCTGAACTTTGGTCTCTATGCTGTTTTCCTACCCCTCCTACCAGACCCCATCACTGTCAAAGCACTGGTTCACTCACTGATACCCTCAATCTTGTGATACTTACTCCACTGCACTAAGCCCTCCCACAAAGCACAGTGGCCCACACAGATCTCCTCTGCATGGAACTCCCAGTCTGCCACTTTCTGATCGTCAATGCATGTGGACATATTTGAGCCCATCAAGCACCCCACCACCACCACCGCAGCCTGTCACTGACCTTGGAGACTTAGTCCTAGGATCTGATAGAATTACTAGAAGGGAAATCGGGTGGTGAGGCACAGGGGAGAAGGCTGAAGGTCAGAAAAGGTCTGGAATGATGGTCGGAAAAGTATTGGATGTCTGCAAGAGGGGCTTTCACAGCGGCTGCAGGTCTGTTTTCTGCCCCTAGTCTGTCTGTCTGTTCCTCCTTTTCCTGACAAAAACCTTTGTCTTTCCTTCTGTTTCGAACTTTCCTAAGCCTTCGAAAGGAGGGTAACCAGTGTACGACACAGACTTCCCGATCCATCCGCATGACCCCAAGGCATCTGTGTCTGCTCAGTCCACCCATTTGCCCCTGCCATAGGCCTAAGGTCCATGAAGGCCTGTGTGTGTTTGTGTCTCCTAATAGGTTTTGTGTCTGTGTCTGTGTCGCCTCCTCCAGTCCATGTCTCCCTCCCTCATCTTCCTTTCTCCTGTTTCCCCACCATCCTCACCTGCTGCTTCCCCTCACAGAGACTTTGGCTAGCGCCAAGGAGGAGAACGTGGAGATTCACCAGACCTTGGACCAGACCCTGCTGGAACTCAACAACTTGTAAGGGTTGGCCCTGCTGCCTACCAGGCTATATAGTTGCCACCTCAACCCAATAAAGCTGATGTTACTGGCATGCCAGGGCCCTTTAAACCTTTCTTTGGTTGGCAGTGGAGCTGGAAGGATCCATGAATGAGCAGGGCCTGAGTCCCATCTCTGCATCTCATTTTCAATGGGAGCTGTGGGGTGGGTGCTGGGTTCAGTGAGCAGGCTCTGTGAACCTTGGGCAAGGTCCTGGCCCTTACTCCCTGCAAAGCAGAGCTGCCATCCATGGTTCAACTGTTCCAAAACGTACTGGCTAAGGCATTCTAAGGAAGAGACAGACTTTGCTCCATGAGGGTTAAAGGTCGAGAGCTTCAATGTGAATTTAAGCCTGGCGGTTATAGCCCACACACCTCCTGACACAAACTACTGTGTGCCCTCCCCCAAAGATTCTCATTCTGGGAAATGTTACCTCACTCAGAAGGAGGGACTATGTCACTGAGCAAATGATCTGAGATGGGGAGCTATCTTAGGTTAACTAGGCAGGACCAATATAATCACAAAGCCTTCACAAAAGGGAGCAAAGAGCGACTGGAGAGATGGCTCAGCAGTTAAGAGCACTGGCTGCTCTTGCAGAGGACCCAGGTTTGATTCCTAGCACCCACATAATGACTAAAAACCTCCATAACTCCAGTTCCAGGGAATCCAACACCGTCTTCTGATCTCCTTGGGCATTGTGCAACATGAGTGCACTTGCATGCAGGCAGGCAATACACTCATATACATAAAATAAAATAAAACTAATAAATAAAAGAGCCAGGCATGGTGGTACAGGCTGGAATCTCAGCACTCAGGAGGCTGAGACAGAAGGATTGTGAGTCTTGATTTCAGTCTAGACTACATAGTAAGACTCTGTCTCAGAAAAGGAAAAAAGAATAGTGTGTTGGGCAGGGGTAGGGGGTGTCAAGTAGATCATGTGACAATGGATGCAAGCTATTGGGGTAATATGAAGAGGCCTTGAGCAAGGAATGTAGTTAGCATCTGGATCTAAAAAATTAAACATTCCACCCTATGAAAGACTGAAAGGGTACAGCCTCACTGACACCTGGATGTTAGCACACAGAATTCATGAACATCTAGCCTCTGGGACTGTAGGAGTATTACTGCTGAGCTTATGGTGGTTTGTTACAGCAGTAACAGGAAATTAATACACCATTCTTTTTGATTCAAGGAACAAAAACAACTTACACATGTTTTATTAGAAATATTTATTTTAAAAATAATTTGAGGGAGCCAGGCATGGTGGTCCCTGCCTGCAATCATAGTACTCAGGAGGCTGAGGCAGGAAGATTGAGAGTTCAAGGCCAGGGGCTGGAGGTTTAGTTCTGTCTGTGGCAGTGCACTGGCCTAGTATGTGCAAAGTCTTGGGTTCAAACCCTAATACCAACCCCCCCAAAGTTCAAGGCCTTCCTGGGATACATAGTATGGGTATAGCTCAGTGTAGAGCATTTGACTGCATGTACCATCAATAATTGAATCCAACCTTGCTTTTTTACTGTAAGACCTCATTGCAGTAATTTAAGGAAAAGAAAGTTTTAAAATATGGAAAAGTTCCATGGTCGTTAAAAAGAGACTGTATAAGCGGCAGGACAGGAAAAGGTGTCTAGATTCCTCTAGTTGATGTCTCTGTCCTATGCTCCAGTTTCTGCCATCTCTGCTGGGCTGTAGCTAACACCACCTTTGATCTCACTTCTGTGTCTATACAACAAGAAACCAGAATCAGAAAACTGGTCCTGGATGAGCTCATTTGCATGAGTCCTAGCGTTCTGGACTGCACAAAGGGAGAGGGGGCCTGTGCTGAGGGAAGATCATAAATACCTGTGCTGCTTCCAAAGTTGCACAAGGAAAGCGATGCTGGTGACAGCAAAGAGAAGGCCAAAAACCAGTGCTAGGATGTCACCTGGGAGGGAGAGATGGGCTGCCTCAGCAAGTGCCACAGGTCCACAGGGTTCCCCTCCAAGCTGACTTCATTGCATGTCTGAACCTTGCTCTGAGTGTTCAGGCAAACCCCAGGCTTCAGTCTCCAGAACAGGCCAGATGGTGAATGGGAGTAGATAGCTAAGAAGGGGTCAGATAAGCACTATTTTCCTTCCTAAAAAGGTAAAAGGCATGTTGGGAGAAGGGCATTTTAGAAGATTTCTGGAGCTTCATTCTGATCAACTAAGCCAGAGGTTCAAGGTTGGGTGGAATTCCCTACCATGATCTGACTCTCATACTGGTTTGGGGAGGGGATCTGTTCTGCACAGAAAGAAAGGAGAGAGTCTTGACTAGCTTCTGGGGCTGAATGATACCAAAGGGTGTCCATCAGCATGAGGAACAAGAGGAACCAGACTCACCAGCAGCAAAGCAGGAATTCATGTGGACTGAAGAGAAAAAGGAGGCATTAAAGTTAGGGCCCATGAGTACCCATGACAGACTCTCGCACAAATGAAGACACAGAAGAGGAGGGACCCATGGCTGGGGATATGGCAATACAGGCTATCCCCCAACCGTGCACCTGGTTCAGGGCTGCTGTCCACTCCAGCAGGGAAGGAGGCCTCAACCATTCGCCCATTCAAAGGTTGTGTGGCTCGGAAATTCATCTGTAGCCGAGAATCATATGGTCCCCACAGGGAAACAGAGAGAGTGTGGAGCTAGGGAAGTCAATAGACAGTACAATTGGGTTCAAGGTATAAAAAGAAACAAGAGTCTCTAGCCCTCAATCTCCACCCATCCACCTTATGGCCCCTTGACCTGTTATTATTGCTTCCCACAATCCCCATTCCCCAAGACCCTGTATCAACATGACACCCCACCCTTACCTGTTTAGCACTCAGTTTCACTGTCTGGTTAAACACAGTCCAGATGACCCCCTGGCTGCAGGGTGGTGTGGTTAGAGACCCTTCATATCGGTAGTAACGGCTGAGGTCGGAAGGTAACAGTGCAGATACATCCAGACCTGGGATCTCAGTCTTTGAGCCTGTGAGAGGATCTGTGTTGAGGTCTCATTTGGATTGCCTTCCCTGGGGGCTCCCAGGCACACGCACAGTTCCACTATTTCCTTCGAATGTATAGCTCCTTTTCAAAATTCCACATAAGACATAATCCAAAAGGAAGTAAAGGGTGCTGGGCAGTTGGGGGAGGTTTCACACTGCTGAGCCAGCTCTCCACAGCTGAGTCATCTCTCTAGTCCTGAGGAAAGAGCTCTTAAATCCTCCTTTGGTGTTCTTCCTTGTACACCCCTATACCATGCCAGACCACTGATTTAGAGTCAGATTGACATAAAAGGAGAAAATGGGGCTGGGCTGTAGCTCAGTGGTAAAGGCCTCATGTTCTATTCCTAGTAACACACACACACACACACACACACACACACACACACACGTACACAGAGAGAATAACTTGTAAATAATTTAATGTTTGTAACTACAAAAACAGACACAAAAACTCCAAAAGCTCTGTAGTTTCCAATTTAGTAAAAACCTAAAAGTCTAGTAAAGTGAGGTTTAAAATGACCCAGAGACTGGAAAGGAGCTTTCCAGTTGTGCTTGTTAGTTTTCGTTAACTTGACACAAACTAGCATCATCTGGGGAGAGGGACCTTCAGTTGAGGAATTTCCTGTCTCGGATTGACTGTGGGCAGGTCTATGGGGCATTTTCTCGATTGCTAATTGATATAGGAGGGTCCAGACCACTGTGGGTGGCACCATCCCTAAGCAGGTGGGCCTGGGCTATATAAGAAAAGTAGTTGAAGGCTGGAGAGATGGCTCAGCAGTTAAGAGCACTGACTGCTCTTGCAGAGGACCCAGGTTTGATTCCCAGCACCCACATGGCAGCTATGAACCGTCCTTAACTCCAGTTCCAAGGGAATCCAAAGCCCTCTTCTAACTGCCGTGGCATTGCACGACACGGGTGCACTCACATACATGCAGGCAATACACTCAAACACATAAAATATTTTTTAAAAAGTAGTTGAGCAAGCCAGGAGGAGCAAAGAAATAAACAGTGCTCCTCCATGATCTCTGCTTCAGTTTTTCCTTGAGCTCCTGCCCTGACTTCCCTCAGTGATGGACTGCTACCTGGAAGTGTGAGGCAAAATAAACCCTTTACTCCCCAAGTTGCTTTTGGTCAGGAGTTTATCACAGCAATGCAAACCTAAGTAGAACACCACCAAAAGTGTTTTTGCAGTGTTGGGAATTAAATCTAGGGCCTCATACATGCTAAGACCTAGCTCTGCCATTAAGCTATATTCTCAACCTTTTTTGAGACATGTTCTCATGTAGCCCAGGCTGGCTTCCAATTCAGTATATAGCCAACCTCTCAAGTACTGGGATTATAGGCATATTATGGTACCATGCCTTGCTCTAATTGCTCCAGAGTATCTATAAATGTAAAATATTTGACATTTGGGGCTGGAGAGATGGCTCAGTGGTTAAGAGCACTGACTGCTCTTGCAGAGGACCTGGGTTTGATTCCCAGTACCCACATGGCGGCTATGAACCGTCCTTAACTCCAGTTCCAGGAAATCCGAAGCCCTCTTCTGACCTCTGCAGCATTGCACAACACGGGTGCACTCACATACATGCAGGCAATACACTCATACACATAGAATAAAAATAATAAATAAAATATTTTTAAAAATTGACATTTGGGCCGGGCGTGATGGCGCACGCCTTTAATCCCAGCACTCAGGAGGCAGAGGCAGGTGGATCTCTGTGAGTTCAAAGGCCAGCCTGGTCTACATAGTGAGTTCCAGGACAGCTGGGGCTTCAGGGAGACCCTGTCTCAAAAAGACCAAAAAAAAAAAAATTGACATTTATGAATGATAGTTCTCAAAAAAAGTTTAGAGGGCTGGAGAGATGGCTTAGCAGTTAAGAGCACTGGCTGTTCTTGTAGAGGACCCAGGTTCGGTTCCCAGTACCTATATGGTAGCTAATGACTGTCCATAAATCCAGTTCCAGGGGATCTGACTCCCTCTTCTGGTCTCCATGGGCATTGCACAACATGGTCACATTTACATACATGCAGGCAAAACACTTACACACATAAAAAATAAAAATAAAATTTAAAAACTTAAAAGTTTCTTTTCACACTCAATACTAAGTTTTAAATACTTTTCTTTTTTGTTTCACCCTATTTGACCTTTTTGTCTAATTTTGTTTTCTGATTGGTTTTGGTTTTTAATCATCAAGTCTGTAGACAGCAGTTTGCCTATTCCTGTTTGCTTCTGGTCAGTTTCACAATTATTACCAAGCTCAGAGCCAGTTCACCCTCAACCCTTTCTATATTTCCATTCTCTCTTAGGCTCCAAAGGCAAGTTGCAAACTGACCTTCCTCAGTAATTTCTTCCAAATGTGACAGCAACTGTTCATAGGCACCATTTTCTTCTGGGCCCTCCTGTGGGGGTGGGGCAATGATGCAAAACAGATTGATATTTTTATCTAGGACCACTGTTAGAGGCCTGAACATGGGATCCCATAGTCTTTCCCCATCCTTCACCCCTGAGAATGCTAAGGCAACATAAAATTTTATTAAATTCTATTACTTTTGTTTTGCAAATGAAGAAGCTTGGTGGACTGGAGGGGGAGGAAAAGGAGGAGGGAGAAGGAGGAAGAGGAGGAGGAAGAGGGAGGAAGAGCTGCTTTGTGACCTGGGCCTTGCTATTCTTTAGTTTGTTCATTCTGACTGCCACATACCCTCCACGGTCCCCTGCAAAATCTCTACAACATTTTGGACTTCTGTTACCTGTGCATTCACTTTTTTGTGTGTGTGATATGGACTCTTCATGAATTTGTGTGTCATCCTTGCTCAGGGGCTATGCTGATCTTCTTTATATCATTCCAATTTTAGTATATGTGCTGCTGAAGTGAGCACCTCTGCATTCACTTTAATAATTCATGAATTTCACTCTGGGGGTGTAGGCCTGACAAGGTACCTCTCTGAACTTTGTACGTAACATTAGTGAGTCTAGGGGGTATCTCACCACGGGTATACAACCTTGATCATTACAGGCACAAAGAGGTCCCTAAATGCAACATTCCATGAAGGAGAAATGGTGGGTCACAGAAGTAAAGTAATGACTCCTGGGCCCAGTGGCTTCCACCTGACAATCTCAGAGTGAGCAGTATTCTTGTGCATACTGTTCCCTCTATGTGTTATAGTCCTCTTTCTTTTCTACCAGTCAAGGCTTCAAGTTCACATCCTCTGTGACCACTGTTTATGGTGTTCCTATGTCTGTCATGTCAGCCTTCTGTACTGGTTGTGGGCTTCTTGAAGAAAAGGCACTACTGCTTCTGAGTCCTTTTTGTGGTCCCCTGCTTGGTTCACTGGTTCAATGAATGAACTGATGAGCTAATGACCTGCCTGAGCATGCTGAAATGGCATCACTAGGAGCAAGAAGCACTTCCGGCAGGGAAGGTGGGTGTCAAGTCTGGTACCTGCAGAAAAGCAGCCAACACAGCCAGGCCGCCTGGGCGCCCCAAGGCCTCCTGAAATCCTGAGAAGGCGGTGCTAAGGTGAACTACATGGATCTACAGAGGATGAGAGGGTCAGATTGAGGCCATAACTGATCACACCTCTTTTGCTTCTCTTGGGACTGCCTGATGCCCACCTCAGCAGGGAAACGGTGGCCATCGACTGTGTGCTCTGAGCCCGGGTGGTCTGAAGTCCCCCAGTGCAGATGCAACTGCAAGGCCCGGTACTCCTGCCCGGGTCCCAGAGCCATCTTCAGTCCCTGCGGCAGAGTCAGCTGTACTGCGTGGGGAGTAGCAGGTGAGAGACATCCAACCACCTGGTAAATCCGTCGGGGGAACCCCCAAACACCGCGGCCGGTTGTCCCCTTTTCTCCATTGGTCCCGCCCCACCCCACCCCACAAAGTCAAGGTGGCTTCCCTGAGGCCCCGCTCCAGACCCCTCACCGGTGTGGCCATTGTTGCTCAGGCTCAGTTCCGGGAGAGGCTGGAGCTCATAGCCCAGCAGCTCCAGGGGTGGCAGGGTGCGGCAGAACGCGGTGGCCTCGGGCCGGATATCTACCGGGGATTGAAAGCGGCCAGCGCAGGCTGGGGACACCTGGGGCCAGGGCGGAGTGTCTGGGGTGAGAGAATATGTTGCAAGAAGTCTGATGACGAGGGCAGGGAACGGTTAAAATGAAGGAGGTGGAGTCAAGGAGCTTCAGAGCTGAGAACTAGAAATTAGGGATGTGGGTAGGGACTAGAGGGAGAGGTGACTGGTATTGGGAATGGCAGATCAGCAGGGCTAGGCTCTCTGATTGGGGTCTGTGTAGGGGGCAGGTATCTCACCTCTGTAGCTCCAATGACTGTGGCCATGGCTGTCCTCTGCATAAATAAGAATGAACAATCCCAGTCTTAGAGCCTGGTCTCTTTCCAGTAGCCAGAAGATGAGTTTCCTCCATCCCTGACAAGGACTCACAAATGTGAATGTCTCACAAGGGCATATCACTAACAGAGATGACTGAAGCAGACTGGGTACAAAGCATAGAGGACTGACTGCCACCACATAGATCCACTGCTGGGAGAGCAAACCACAGACCTACTGCCTAACAGACTGTAGTGTGCAAACAGTGTTGCAGGGTCTGGATTAGTGGATGGAGGCCACAGTTGGCAGACCCACATCAGTAGATGAGCCCTTTCTCCTTCAGTCACCCCACCTTACCACTCAGCCCTCTGCCCTTCCTAGTCTCCAGCTCCCTTCTGAAAGTTTCTGGCTTGGAGCCAGGCATGGTGGGACACACCTGAAATCCCAGCACTCTGAGGCAGAGGCAGCAGGATCATGGATCAAGGCCAACCTGGTCTACCTAGGGAGACCCTGTTCACCCTCCACCCATCCCAAACCAAATTTCCTCTGTTGATTCCTTCTTCCTATTCTTCATCTTCACTGCAAATTGATGATAGTCATAGTCTCCCTCTGGACCCCCTACACACACACACACACACACACACACACACACACAATCTTTTCCCTTCCCGCATATTCTTTTTCCCCCTGCTCTCCACCTCTTTTTCCATCTCTGCAGGTTCATCAGCTCTTTCTCCTCTTCAATCCCCCTTTCTCATCTCTTCCAACTATTGTTTCCTTTTTTTTCTTTCCCCTATTAGGGGAGAAGGGCTACCCATTAGAGTATAGCTTCCTTTCTGTATGCTCTCTGCCACCACTGGGATATGGAGAAGGAAGGTATGAACCTACCTGAGCCTAGGTTTGGAGGCTCATGACCACTTACCTTTTTTGTCCCCAAGGGGACCTTGACTGTCCTCAGGAGACTCAACAGTGGGTAGATCCTCTAACTTCAGAGAGCCCTCCTCTTCGAGTTTAGAATTAACTACAGGTGGATCCTCTCCACCACGTGGATCTATCTCTCCAGGTGGATCCTCTTCACTGGGCAGATCCACCCCACCCAGTGGATCATCTTCCCCAGATGAACTTTCTCCCATGGAGGGATCCCCCTGCATCCAGGACAGGCTCTGGGGATGAGCAGGCACTAGCAGCAGCAACAGCAGCAGCTGCACAGCAGGGGCCGGGATCAACAGAGGAGGCCAGGGGCTGGGGCACAGGGAAGCCATGCGGCTGGCTGGGGTGTCCCAGGACACGGTGTGTACGGGCTCTACGTGCATCGGAAATAGGAGCTGGGTGGGGGAGGAGCAAACCTTGAGGGGAGCAGGCTGACTCAGAGTGCCCTTTTGTAGAGATGGAGCCAAAGTCCCTCGGGTCTGTCTGGCCCTGTGCCCCCTTCCAAAGCCTGGATGGAGGTGGGGGTTAGGAAGTAGAGGTGGGGTGAGTGAGGGGTAGGTGTGTTCGCAGGCAGAAGGTTATCAGGGTTACCAGCTCAGCCTGGAACCCAAGGCACCACCTGGCACTGTATAGGCTGTCCCTGGCACCACCCAGCTTGTGCCAGCCAGTCTCTGCTAACCCTGGCCTGCTTCCCAGCCCAGGCAGGGAAGGGGGAAAGAAGGAAACAGGCCCCTGTGTGTCTGGCTGAGAGGGCAGCAAACCATGTATATTGTAGGTAACTGGCCAGGTGAACAACTGGGGGAACTTGGAGCTGAGAGATGGAGGGGTGCATGGTTAGGTGGGAGGCAAACGAGCATGAATTTCTGGTGTATGAGAAAGACTGATGGCTCCCCCGCTGCCTGCCGAATATACCCATATTCTTTTTCTGTCTTCCAAGTCTCTTCAACATCTCACCCGAGAAACTGTTCAATCTTAGCTTTTACTACTTGTGCACTTTTGTTTCTTAGTGCCGGAGACTGAATGCATGGTGATGTGCTTGTTAGGCAAGTACTGTACCACTGAACTGTATATACCCCCCAGCTTCAAACTATTCATTTTTTTCCTCCAAACTTTTTATTACCTTTGTTCAGTCTTTATTTACGTAATACCTATGGTATGTCGGACATCTATGGACTAAGGCTAAAGAAATGAAAAAGGCGAGAGTTTCTCCCTGAAGAGCTCTCGGTCAGTGAGTAAGGACAAACACCATCATAATCCTGCAGAAGAAAATACAGAAGTGGGTAAAATTTGACCCCAACCTTCGAAAAGTAGTAACCTCATTGGAGGGAGGGGAGAGATAATCACCATGATGAGAATGACATTCTAGGCAAAAAGAGACATAAAATATTTTGGACAGGGGTGGTTAGTCAGATAGTTTAGTGGGTAAAGGCTTTTGACCTAAAGCTTGGTGACTTGAGTTCAATCTTCAGAATCCACATGGTGGAAATTGAGAACCGACTTCTTCAAGTTGTCCTCTGACCTCCTGGGTGTGCCGTGGCACACATGCATACACACATAAGTAAATAAATAAATTAAACTAAAGAAGTATTTTGAACAAGAGAGTGACAGAATGCAGTTCTCACATTAGGTCATGTTGAAGATTGCTATGAGCATGGATTGGACAGGGAGACTGGGTGCAAAGAAACAAGGAGAATGATAATGAACTTCGGGACTTCCACTCTGTCCATTTAATGAACATTTACCAAGCCTCTTATAGTCCCCAGGTACTGATGTAGACCCCAATTATGCAGTATAGAATAGACAACTTCTAGTTCTATAGCTTACATTCTAGGGAGGCTCCCATGGATTCAACAGATCACAAGAGAAAAAGACCATTTCATGTCCATATCCAACATTATTCAGTAGGCACATACCAGTATGATTGTATAGGCTAATTTAATTTATTGAAATAGTTCTCATCCTGTGGTATACAGCCATAGCCCATGGCTCCAGGTGTGCCTACTGTCCCAGCTTATCTTTGAGGACCCTCTAGCCTTCAAAGTCCCTTATCTAAAGGGGTAATACCTAGTACAGAAAGAGTCCAAGGAACCTCATTTGAAGGTTCCAACCAGCTTTAACTTTGATCATCAGTGTTTGTGAATCCATCGATGGTGTTAGGTTCATTATCTCTCTTTTCTAAATTTATTCTTTGACTCAGTTTACAGGAAATTCCTCCAGGAAGCCTTTATTTTTTCAAATTTAACGTGTGTGTGTGTGTATGTGTGTGTGTGTGTGTGTGTGTGTAAGATATGTGTGTTGTGTTTTGCTATGGTGCACACATGGAGGCCACAGAACAACTTTGTGGAGTCATTTCTCTCTTTCTGCCTTTATGTAGGTAGGACCAAACTCAAATTGTCAGGCTTACACAGCAAGTGCCTTTAACACTGCTGAGCCATCTCGCCAGCCAAAGAAGCCTTTCTTAACCAAATTTCCATTACCACTCTGGAAGAACTCTCTGGTGCCTCTGAACTACCACAGTTCTTTGCTTGACTTCAATAATAATCTTGCCTACCATCTAGTTCATATTAGCATGATTTATGACATTTTATCTTGTGCTTTATGAGGGCAGGGTCCAGGATATGACTAAGTCAATCTTTTATTCAACAGCCATTCTGGAGCATTTTCTCCCTGTAGATTACCTTGCCAGGTACTTAAGAAATACCATATTGACTAAGATGGCTTTCCTACTTTAGGGACTCATGACTTTGCATACCTAATCACAACTGTCCCAGGAGCATGAACTTCTTTTTTCTTGTTGTTGAGACAGGGTTTCTGTAGCCTAGGCTAACCTTGAATTCATTGTGTGAATTTGCCTAGGCTGACCTCAAACCCTAGATGATTTTCTTGCCTTCGCCTCCTGAGTACTGGAATTACAGGTATGTAAGACCATGCCTAACATGAAATCACAGTTTTATGGTACTCCTGATTATCTGTTTTAGCTGACTGTCAATAGGACAGCAAAACTTTTATGGCTGGATAACAGCTGTCCTCCAAGTGTTCATCTTAGGAGGTAGTCAGCCAAAGAATCCAGGTGCTTTTCCTGGAATGGGGTGTGATCTAGTGGCAGAGTGTCTGCCTAGTTACACAAGGACCTGTTGGTCTTTCTGTAGTCAAGTTCAGAACCATCTACGATATTATGATCCATTGTGGACTCTGAATAGTCAGTTGTTTTTAACACCTTGCTCGGACCCTGGCACATGGACGGCACATGGTCATATCTGAATTAAATGGGCTTGTGTAACACAGACTTCGGTAAGAACTATTGTAGTTCAGGTGGGAGAGCTCATGTGAGCAGAGAGGACGGTATTATCTGAAACTCTGGGGCTTCGTGGCTTTCTCCAACACCAATCTCAGCATTCACTCATTTTCCGCTCTAATATTCTGAGCACCCCAGTCTTATTAAGCTCTCTTTGTACTTCTTGGCAGCACTGTGTTCTCATATCCTTAGGTCCATCTGTCCCCACTATTTAAAGAGCTTTCCCTCTGTATTTCAGAGCACAGATCTGCTTGCAGGTACATCATTCTTTGTTATAGTTTACTAACTTTCCAAATGCTCTTCTCCATGATTCTGTGTCCCTTAGCTTTCTACCTCTCTGGTCATTTCCCTGGTCTGGGTGGAGATGTGGACTCTGATCCTGGATCATGCCTTTCCAGCCTGGAAGTCTGCCAAACCCTAAAACAGGTTTGAGCTCTCAGAGTTCTTGTGTCCTGAGTCTCCCCAGGTCAAGACAGAGCATATTCAGGACAAATCAATGGGGACACTCTGCTGGGTGCAGGGTACCTCTGAAGTTATTTGAATTCAAGTCTGGTATCTGGGGATCTGTGTTTCTAAACACTGAGGAACATATTACTAAAACATGTTTCTGATTGCCCAGCATTGCAGAAAAGGGGGTTACCAACTGGTAAAGTAGGTGAAAACCCCCTTCTCCCTATTAATGAATTGGAAGCAAAGATCAAAGCCTTTCTGAGGTCTTGAGGCTGACCTGTAGTTTTGGCCCATTGCACTATTATGCCCAGGGCTACCATAAAAGTTGTCATAAACTCATAAACCAGGTGTCTTATGGCAACGGATTTTTTTTTTTCTGTCAAAGTTCTGTAGGCCAGAAGTCTGAAATTATGTTGGTGGGATTAGGCTTCCTCTGAAGGCTTTAGGGAGGCCTCTTTCCTTGCCTCTCTTAGATTCTGGTGGCTCCCTGGCTTACGGCTATGTAACTCCAATATCTACCTCTTCATGTGGTCTTTTCCCGACCTCGTGTCCCCACTGGAGACACCCATTCGTATTGGATTGAAGAAATTGGATTTAAGAAATACTGAGATAATTCAGATGATCTCATCTCAAGAACTTTTTTTTTTTTTTGAGACAGGATCTCATGTAGCCCAGGGCAAGATTATAGGCATGTACAATCATATCTGGTTTGTACAGTGCTGAGGAATGAGTCCAGGACGTCATGCATGCTAGGCAAGCACTCTACCCACTAAGCTAGATCCCTGACTCTCAAAATTCTCTTGTTTTGTTTTGTTTGAAACAGGGTTTATGTAGCTCTGGTGGCCTGGAACTCACTGAGATCTACCTGCCGCTGCTTCTCAAGTGTTCGGATTAAAGGTGTGTACCACCACACATATGAGTCTTAACTATTTCAGATAAGGTTATATTTGTAGGTCCTGGGCAGTTAGGACATGGAAATGGACATGTCTCTATGTGTCCACCATTTAGCCCACCATCAAGGTAGTGGAAATGAAGTGGATGTACTTCAAGATGCCCTCGCTGTGTCACCTCAGTTTTGCTCTCTTCTTCTACCAGTTAGAGAATTCTGCCTCCTGACTTCATAGTAGGCTCTATTTCCCAGCCCCCCTCTCACCCACCCAAAGCACCCTCACAAGCCGGTGGCGTTTGTGCCCCAGGCATTGTACTCTATTCTTTCAAAAAACTATTTTATTTTTATTTTATGTGTATGAGTTTTGCCTGCAGGTAGGTAAGTATACCACGTGCATGCCTCATGCCCTGGGAGGCCAGAAGAGGGCATTGGATCCCCTGGAACTGGAGTTATAAATGACTGTTAGCTGCCATGTGCGTGCTGGTCCTCTGCAAGAGGATCAACATGGGATTCTCTGTCTTCATCCACGCTTGAGCTCTTAGTGTGGGCTGTCCCTCATTTCCATTTCTTTTTTTTCTTTGATACAGGGTCCCTGTGTGGCCTAGGCTGGCCTCAGAGTTGCAGCAGGTCTTCTGCCTCAGCCTCACAAACGCTGGTATTATAGATGTGAGCACCATGCCTGGCTCTCCCCCTTCATTTGAGAACCAAAAAAAAGATCTGATCCAAGCTCTCACTTCTCTCCTTCCTAGGCTTGCAACTTGTTCCTCTCTGGTCTAAGCCTAACATTTTAACATTCTCAGAATTCTCAGGATGTCAGAGCTGGAGGGGAGCTTAGAACCCTGACAATCCACAGGTTCCTGGCTTGGGGCCCAGATTCCTGAGTCCAAAATGGAAGGAATAGGATATGTTTCTTACATTTTGTTTCTTAATACAAAATGTATTTCCTAATACAAAATACTGCATGCTCAAAGCAGAAAACTTGAGTGAAGTGCAGAAGAGCCTAAGGGAATTTTAAATCTCCCTTTTGTCCCATTCTCATCTAAACCATCTACCTCAGCGGTTTACTGCCTGGCACAGGTGGGCTCTTATTTGTTGAATTAATTTCAGTCTCACCCAGAGATTAAAAACCACAATTAGCTTTTGATTGCTTAGCCTTCCAGCGTTTTATATATACATTTTTTATATAGAGCGGATCATGTTACATAAACAGATTTGTAGCTTGATTTTTTTTCTCTTGGTATTATATTTACTATGTGCATTTTCCCATGTTGATAGATTTAAAAAATAATTTTGATGTTTTCATATTATATCTTCAACTGGCTGTACCATACTTTTTCTAGCTTTAGCACTGGACATTTAAGTGGCTTCTGGTCTGTTGTTGCAACAACATACTGTCGGACATCTTAGTATATATAGTTTCCCTCATAACCATTTAGAATGCATTCTTAGAAGTGGAACTGCTAAGTCCAAAGAGCAGACACAGTTTAAGATTCCTGATAACAGGGTCTAAAGAAATGACTCCGCAGTGAAGAGTGCTCCCTGCTCTTCCAGAGGACCTGAGTTCAGTTCCCAGTACCACACTGGGTGGCTCACAACTCTAGCTCCAGGGAAACTGATATCCTCTTTTGGACTCCCTTAGTCACCTGCACTCACATGTGTACATACCCCCCTACACACATATACAACATCATTTAAAAAAATAAAACTGAGCCCGCCGTGGTGGCACATGCCTTTAATCCCAGCACTCAGGAGGCAGAGGCAGGCGAATCTCTGTGAGTTTAAGGCCAGCCTGGTCTACATAGTGAGTTCCAGGACAGCTGGGGCTACAGGAAGACCCTGTCTCAAAAAGACCAAAAATAAATAAATAAAACTGACAAAATGGCACTGCAAATTTACCTTCTAGGGCTATCCCCAAGTCCCCAAAGTCCTAAGGAAAAGTGTTTGTTGTTGTTAAGACAGGGTCTTCCTGTAGCCCCAGCTGTCCTGGAACTCACTATGTAGACCAGGCTGGCCTCAAACTCACTGAAATCCACCTGCCTCTGCCTTCTGAGTGCTGGGACTAAAGGCACTGGCCGCCACCACGCAGTACATTCCATTTTTGTCAAGGCAGTATAGACTAAAATCAAAGCTTTTTTCTTGAACAGACTTACAGTAAACCCAAACTACCATATTATTGACACCTCCTCATCAGAAGCTAGTTGGTGGTCAGGTTTTTAGATCAGTATGAAATTTTAAAAATCAGGGCCGGGGATGTAGCTCAGTTGGTACAATGCTTGCCTAGCATGTACCACGGAATTCCACCCTGGCTCCTTATAAACGGGGTGTGGTGGCACAGGCCTTGAATTCCAGCACTTGGGAGGTTAGGCAGGAGGATGAAAAGTTCAAGGCCAGCCCAACTTATATGACAACAAAAGGAAATGAAAAAAAAAACAAAAAACCCCACAAAAAACCCAACCCAACCCCTCAGTAACTTAAAACATATAAGCTTTTGTGCTAGTGGCTGAAAGCACGGGGAATGACTGGGCAACCGCCTTATGGCCTGGTATGGGCTCAGGACATAGTATGTACCCCAATTATTCCCGCATTCCCCGTTTTACAACTAGGACACTGAGGCCCCGTCAATGTCTGCATCTTGGAGTCTCCTGGTTCCATTTCCAGACCACTGTGCCGCTTTTGTGCCTGCATAGGTGCTCCGCACCCCGGCCACACTTGGCATATCGCGCTCCTACAGCGCTGTCCCGGCGGTGGGGCGGACGCTGACTGGGGGGACCCACCACCAGCTGGGCGGCGGCTGCGCATGCTCTGTCCTGCACGGTCCGTTCCAGGGCCGCACCCCCGCGACCCCGCCCCCGGAGCGGTTGGAATTTGAATCTGCGGCGCGCTGCCTGTGGGAGGCTGGAACCTCAGCCTGGCATGGAGAGCCCTGGCCCCACCGCACGGTGCCCGGTGCGAGAGCAGCGTGCTCGTTGGGAGCGGAAGCGCGCCTGCACCGCCCGGGAGCTGCTGGAGACCGAGCGGCGCTACCAGGAACAGCTGGGGCTGGTGGCTACGGTGCGGACCGGAGTGTGGGAGGGCCGGAGACCGTGCTACTTGAAGGGCGGGAGTTCAGACTTCTGTAGTTTCTGGCTGCACTTTGACGTTGACTTCGTCTTCCTCCAGGCTAACATACCTGTATTCTCTCCTTCCACAGTACTTCCTGGGGATCCTGAAAGCCAAGGGGACCCTACGACCACCAGAATGCCAAACCCTGTTTGGGTGCTGGGAGCTCATCTACGGCGCCAGCCTGTGAGTGCAAGGGCTGAGGGGAGAGGGATGCCCTGGCCTCTGGCACGGAGTAGAGTCAGAAAGACCAAGTTCATCTTCTAAGTCTGCCAATTTTCTTACCTGTGGCCTTGGCCCAGTGCCTTAACCTGTTTCTCCAGCGTAATATGGGGTAATAGCACTACCTCCGGGGCAGAGTTATGGGAAGTAAATGAGGAATGTTTCGGTAGTTGTTGGTCTACCCTTTTACTGTTCTTGCCCACACAGAGAGCTCCTTCCCTATCTGGAAGAAGGCCACTGGGGGCAGGGGCTAGAGGGCTTCTGTGAGCACTTGGAACTCTATACCCAGTTTGCTGCCAATGTGGAGAGGTCCCGGTCCACCCTGCAGGTAACCCAGAAATGACCTGAAATCTGGGTCTTCCTCACTTGTCCCTTACATTATCTCTTTATCTAGAGACCCAAACTTCATACAGCCTGTGCATTTAGAACCCAGCCCTTTGCTAACATCCGTGTAAGGGATCAGGTTTCTCTCAGGAGCACTCAGCTTACTGCAGGCTATTGGTGTGTATACAGGTTAATGCAATATAAAGTGGCTTCTCTCCCTGCTGCCAACTCTCCCCTCAATCCAGGAGCAGCTGAAGAGGAGCAAACGTTTCCGGAGATTCGTGCAGCTTCAGGAGGGCCGCCCTGAATTTAGAGGCCTTCAGCTTCAGGACCTGCTCCCTCTGCCTCTGCAGCGGCTCCAGCAGTGAGTGAACTCTGGACCCATCTTCTCAGGCTGCATGACTGCTGTCCTCAGCTTCTGTGGGGTGCCACAGGGTACCACTTGCCACTCCCCTGGGCCAAACAGCTTCAAAGAAGCTTTTGCCTGAGTAAATGTGACCTCACAAGGCTACCTGGGACTGTGGGACTCTATACTGAAGTGAAGGGACCTGCACTGGGCTATATAGAAAAGCTCTTTGAAATGAGGACTCATCTTAGCAGAGAATTCTGTCTCCAGGGATGAGTAAGGGCTCATAGGTATCCCTCTTGGTTTGACTTTCATCTTCTGACCTGGCCTCCTGAACTAGTCTGCCACTGATGCTTCAGTGTGGGATGGAAGAGTGGAGTGTGAGCCCAGATTCTGAGTACCAGGTTTAAAAGGGGCAATAGAGTAGCCAGATCCCCTGGCCTTACAACTAAGGAATGTGTGGGAGGCTGATCTCTGACAAAAACTGCCTGGTTCTTACTTCCCCCTTTCACTTCCTGTTGTCCACTTTCAGGTATGAGAATCTTGTTGTTGCTTTGGCTGAAAACACAATTCCCAACAGCCCTGACTGCCAGCAGCTCACACGTAGGTTCTTGTTCCTCTCCAGCTCAGGCAGGAGGCTGCCTGTCCTGTGTCCCTTTCTGGTTCTGACCTCTAACAATGTCTGGTATGTTCTTCCATTACATGTACAGTGTTCCTATTGCCCTGCCTTTTCTTCAAGAAGTTAGGGGACCTGATCTAGGTCCCTTCCAAACTAGCTTGTCTTTCACTACCAATAGTCACCCAGAGTCAAAGTTGTGTTGAAAGTGAGGTAGAGGGTGTTATTCCAGGGGCTGCCCGCCTGATAAGTGAGACTGCCCAGAAAGTCCACACTATCGGCCAGAAACACAAGAATGACCAGCACCTCCGGCGTGTCCAGGCCCTACTCAGTGGACGCCAAGCCAAAGGACTGACCTCAGGTAGTCTTCTTACCCCTTGCTTGCTTACTTTTCTTCCTTACAAAGCCATCATGTTGGGCTGGATGGCTCAGTGCATTAGAGGTGCTTGCCTTACCAGCTGAGTTCAATCCCCAGAACCCACTCCATAAAGCTGTCCCCTGAACTCCACATGCACACCTCATACACAATTTTTTTGAGCCAGCATATCCTCCCCTCCCCCTCCCCCCAAATTTCCTCTGCCTCCCTTTCCTTCTGTTCCCATAGATTTTCGAGCTACACCACAACAGTTCTCTCATTTCTCAGGACGCTGGTTCCTACGCCAGGGATGGCTTTTGGTGGTGCCTGCCTCTGGGGAGCCTCGGCCCCGAATGTTCTTCCTTTTCTCTGATGTGCTCCTCATGGCCAAGCCTCGCCCCCCATTGCACCTGCTGAAGAGTGGCACCTTTGTCTGCAGGGCCCTCTACCCCATGGCCCATTGTCAACTTTGCAGGGTCTTTGGTCATTCAGGAGGACCTTGCGGTGGACTGCTCAGTGTAAGTAATAGGTGGGCACTCTAGGCCCAAATAGACCTCAAGCACCATGGACCAGCTTATCTCCCTGGCCTGGGTCTCTTTTCATGAGAATAAGAGGATTGTTGGGACTAAGGCTTCATATTTAGTCCTCATCTCATCCCTGAATTAACTCCATGGAACCAGTGAGGGCTTCAGCCTGAATCGATTTGAACCACACACTAAGAAGTGGTCTCTCCCTAGCTGTCCTTCCCCCATGAGAAGCTACTGCTTATGTCTACTGACCAGGAGGAGATGTCACATTGGTACCACAGTCTGACTTTGGCTATTAGGTAAGTTGTGTCTTCTCTCAGGAACAGTGCTGTGAGGAGGTTCACAGCTGGAAAGGAATACTTCTCACATCTGTCTGGGACCTCCTCTATAGGTGATTGTGTCTGAAGAAGCACTCATGCCAGTGCCTGAACTGTTTTCTTTCCACAGAAGCCAGAAGAGCTAGATTTGCAGGCGTGTCCAACCTTTTGACACTGCAACATGACACTGTCACCTACAAATGTGTTAGGCTGCATTCAGCTATCCTGGGATACATGCAGGGGTCAGACATGTCTGAGAAGAATCTTACACTTTCTAGAACTCAGGATACTAGGTCAGAGCCAAAAGCAAAAGAAATATTCTTCAGCTCTGGAGCAAAATACGGAACCCCTCCCACAGTTTGACAAGGCTCATTTTGTGTCTGCCAAGCTACATGGACCATTTGACTAGCTTTTAAGTATCAGGAAAACCAACTTCAACCCCAGTGAGCCTCAGCTGAACCAGCCCTTCTAACACCAATGAGGAGACTTGGGACTGAAGCTCACTGTTGCCTGTGGTCAGATGTCTAGTTTGCAGCTTATTTTTTTTTTTTCTTTTTGACAGGGTCTCCCTGTAGACCCCACTGTCCTGGAACTCACTATGTAGACCAGGCTGGCCTTGAACTCACAGAGATCCACCTGCCTCTGCCTCGTGAGTGCTGGGATTAAAGGCATGCACTACCACGCCCAGCATTTGCAGCTTTTTAAAGGAGGGTATTTTGATGCTGTGTATAGTTTTTCTGTTTAATTTTTGAGACAGGGTCTTGCTATATTGGCCAGGCCTGTTAATTTGAGTTCCACCTGCCTCAGCCTCTCAATTGTTGTGATTTCAGGTGTATGCCACCATACCCAATCTTTACATATAGTTTCTTTCTCTTTCTTTCCATCTATTCTTTTCTTTGAGACAGTCTCATGTGGCCCAGGCTGGCCTTGATCTCCCAAACTACCTCTCATATTGTATAATTTCTATAATTTATTTTCTCACTGGATTTTAATAAAGTGCTTTTGTTATGTTTTCAGAAAGACCTTTCTGTCTTGACTATGAGAAAAAGGATTTTGAGCCCTGCAGGCTGGCATGCTTGTAGGAGCTCCCTCTGTCTTCCCCACTCTCACTCTGGAAGGCAGCCTCTTTTTTCCTAATAAGGGAACCTTTTCTAGGAGGCCCAGTTTGTACTTAGGCACCTAGTATGGGTGTGTGTATGACCAGCTCGGGGTGGGGGAAGCACACTGAAGCATCCAATACTACAAGAAAAGACTTTGTTTTACTAAACCTCCAGTAGTAGCCTCTCCTTCATTACAGGGACCCTTTGTTACAGCCTTGCCCAATCTTCTCCTCAGCCCCTGCTCTGCTTCCCAGGAAGGAGCTAAGTTCCATGTCTCTGGGCTCCAGTTTATGGGCTCCTCCCAGGCCTGACTGTTACCAGCTTCCTGTTGGTCCTCTTTTCTCCAGTCCTCAGGAAAGAGTATGGTGGCCTCTGTGAGAGGAAAAGATCAGCATATTCTAGTTTCACAGACTTTGTCTCCCCACCAACAGATACCTCCCAACCCTTTACCTGACTCTCGAACTTCCACACCCCTGTCTGGTTTGCAGTCTTGTAGAAGCTGATGTATGGTCTGTAGTTTTGTGTTTAGAAGCTCCCGCTGGGTCCCAACCAGAGTACTCACCCTGCAGAAATACCCACTCAGGGACTGCTCAATCTGTCCCCATCCCTCCTGACTCACCCCACAAATTCTCACCGTTCAAAAAGAGGGTCCAGTTGGGTCATCAGATTGTTCAGGTGCTGTTCTGTCTGGGCCAGCTGTTGTGTCAACTGGGCCAGCTGTTGCTCTGAGAGTAAGGTAGAAGAGGTGGTTACTTCTGCTGTCCCCTGATCCTCCCCCCCCACCATTGCTTAACCCACCTGACTGCAATGATTTCTTCTTGCTTTTCTCCTCTTGGAGAACTGCAGCCTCATCTTTACCCTGTTGTGGAAGCAGGAAAGGGCAACGTTGCAGCATTGCAGCAACAAGGCTCTGCTCCAGCCTTCAAAGTCAGTAAAGAGAGGAGCAGAATTTGCCACACAGAAAGGGTTTTTGTTTCAGAGAATCACAATTGTTGCTGGTCCAGCTCATTACCCAGAACATGAAGCAACATGTCAGTGTGCCCCACATATGGCCAGAATGCTGAAACACTTCCAAGAATGTGCAACTCTTCCAAAGGAATTTGAAGACTGGTCTTGCCTCCCTCCTCGACTGTTTTTGTTTTACTATATTTATAAAACCAACTTGTTTTTATATATTTTTGAGACAGGGTTTCACTGTGTAGCCATGGCTTTGGAACTTGTTATGTAGAATGGGTTAGCTGGAGATCTCTGAACTCACAGAGATCTGCTTGCCCCTGCTTCTTAAATGCTGGGATTAAAGGTGTGTGCCACACTTCTTTATTGAGATAGAGTTTTGCTAAACTGCTCAGGCAGATGTTGGGTTTACAATCCTGCCTCAACAGATTACAGGTCTGTGCCAACCAGGTCCAGCTCCCTCAAGTCTTTTCTGGTATGAGGTCTCCAGTCTTTTCTGTCAGCTTTCAATTAGCACTCATTTCCCCACACTGTTGTTTCACTGAAAAAGATTTTTTTTACTGTAAATTTTTTAAATAATTTTTATTATTTTCATTTTATGTGTATGAGTGTATTGCCTGCATGTATGTGAGTGCACCAAAAAAATCATGCAATGCCGAGGAGGTCAGAAGAGGGCTTCAGATTCCCCTTGGGACTGGAGTTAAGGACGGTTCGTAGCCGCCATGTGGGTACTGGGAATCGAACCCGGGTCCTCTGCAAGGGCAGCCAATGCTCTTAACCTCTGAGACACCTCTCCAGCCCCTACAGTAAATTTTTTAAAAGAGTAAAATTCTCCCAGTGTTCTGACCAGCACAGGCTTCTGTTCAGAGCTTTTACTTTGGAAGTAGGTCATCACATCACACAGTGAACCATCAACTGGACCGCCTATGTCTTCCATAGTATCTACTGCTGCATTTCTCCCCAACCGACTCTGCTTGGATCTGCGTACAAATGTATCCTCGTTAGAATCCATCATTAAATCCAGATCCTCATCGTATCCTGTCCAGACTACGTGGGATCATTATTAGCTATCTCATTTAGTTTTATCTAGCTATATTGGTTGTGCCCTCTATTTCCTAATACAAGTAAGTGATCAGGGCTGAGGCTACAGCTCTGGGTAGTACCACCTTTCAGCAGTTTCAATTAACCAGAATGTACGGTCAGCTCCCATTTCAGGGCCTCCTTCCCGGGGAGAACCTGAGACTGCTTGGCGTCTTGCACTCTGGACACAGTGCGGCTGCAGCAAACAAGACCTGGTCCCAAGGTGAGAACCTAGGCAGTAACTGCCCTGTTTGATAAGTGGACACTGGTTAAAATCCTACCTCGGACACTGCGTGGGTGAGGAGCAAAAACATTGGACTGTGGGGGGATTAAACTTCCATCCACTACTTCTCGGATCCCAGAAACCCCGGAATGCTGGACCAGCCTGGAGCCAGCCTTCATCCCAGAGGCCGCCGCCCAGGGGAGGTCCCAGCCCTGCCCCGCAGCCCCCACCACCCCGCACCTGCAAACACTTGTACAGCACGAAAGCCACGACGGCCGCGGTGTACAGCGTCCCTAGGGGCAGCGCTCCGGCCCGGGCCCGCTCACGGTGGTCCTTGGGTTCCGCGGCCCCAGGGCGGACCTGGGAGCGGCGCTCTGCAGGGGAAACGCCCGTCAGCAGAGGGGACGCGGCTCCCAGGCAGTCCCAGCCGCCCTCCAGCAGCCCTCGCCAGTACCTGGGTGTATGCCAAGACCGCGGCGCGGGCGCTCTCCGAGGACCCCAAACATCGCAGATACCAGTAGCAGTCCCAACACGCCCGACGACCAGCTGGCGCACGCCATGCCTGGCCCACTGGAAGCGCCCGCGCCACGGCCCAGCGGCGGCTTCCCGCCCTACTGCGCACGCGCGAGCCAGACCCCTGCCTGTCAAGCTCTGGGTCGCCGAGAGAAGCCACACCCACTCACATAGGGCGGGCCAAATATTTGCATGAGACCGTACCCAATGGCTTTCCCACAGCAGTTAATTTCCCATTATAGTTGGATGTTCTTTGCCAGAATGTCTCCAGAAACCTTTAGACTAAAACACCATTTATAAGAAAACAACTCATTTTCATATCTCACCCGCCTTCCCCATTTTCTCACCCTAATTGAAAGATTGAAGGCTCTGCCGAGCCATAAATAGCCCTGCGCTCTGATCTAGCGTAGCTCGCTCTGAAGGCCTGTTTCCTAGGCTACACACGAGGGACTTGTTCCTTACCCTTCCGCCTAGGGGAAAGTCCCCGGACCTTGGGCAGAGAGTGCCGCGTGTACATGCACGTAGACCTCTCCCGCGTGTCACAGTTAGCCCGCCAAGAAGCGACCCGTCCTCTGCGGGGCAGCCGAGCGGCGTGCTGCGGGCCGTCCTCCGTCAGCTCTCATAGTTACGCAGGCAGTGCGACCACACGCACCAACCGCACGGGGCTCATTCTCAGCGCGGCTGCTTTTTATTTATCGTAGCTTCCCTCTCCTCTTGAAATTACTTGAAATTACATTGACTTTCCCCTGGGTAGTCCGCCAATCATTTTTTGAGTAACCTAAGTCAAAAGAAAGAAAGAAAATAGCTCTGAACTCCCTTTGTTGAAAAACCTTAATTTCTAATCTATTCTTCAGCACAATTTATTTACTTTCTCCGAGACATCAAGGGCCGTTTTTCCTATTTTACTGCCGGAACCTTCTAGCACAGTACCTGTCACTAGCAGGCATTTGATGAAGTGAATGAAATAATGAATGGATGTACACAATGATCCAAAAGGCAATAAATTATATTCTAATTAGGAATTCCAATTAAGAGCCCGGTGTGGTGGTATACGCTTTTAATCCCAGCACTAGGGAGGCAGAGGCAGGCGGGACACTGTGAGTTCAAGGCCAGCCTGGTCTACATAGTGAGTTCCAGGCTAGCTGGGGCTACAGGGAGACCCTGTCTCAAAAAGGCCTAAAAAAATTTAAAAAAAAAAATTAAGACTTCAGGAATCTTCAGGGTCTCATGTAGCCTAGGCTGGCCTCAAACTTGCTGTGGAGCTGGGGGCTGGCCTTGAACTCCTGATCCTCCTGGTTCCTCTTCCCAAAGTGCTAGGATTACAGATGTGGACTACTGCACCAGTGTTATAATTGGACTCTTTGAAATATAAAGAAAGGAAGGCGTGGAACACCCTCTGTTCCATGTTACCTTGTTTGCTTGCTTACTGAGACAGGGTCTCAGTAGCCTCGAGCTCAAGATCGTCCTGTCTTTGTCTCTAGAGTGCTGGGATTATAGGTATGCAACCATGACACCCAACTTTCCATGTTCTCTTAATTGCCTGGGATTCACAGGGTCACCTTTGCAACTAGAGCAGTGGTTTTCTAAGGAAATAAACGTGTTCCACTTGCATCTGTCTCTAGAGCTTGGCAAATCACCAGGCAATAGGAAGATGTGCACACCTTTAATCCCAGCACTCAGGAGGCAGAGGCAGGTCGATATCTGAAATCAAGGCCAACCTGGTCTACATAGTGAGTTCTAGGCCAGCTGGCTACAGGGAGACACTGTCTCAAAAACGAACAAATAAAACAAAACAAAACAGAAAGAAAATGAGCAAGCAAACAGGGATAGGCCAGAGGAACAAGTCAGTAAGCAGTGTTTTTCTGTGGTCTGTTGCCAATTCCTACTTCTAAGCTCCTGTCCTGAGTTCCTAACTTCCTTTAAAGATGGACTATCACTTGGAAGTGTAAGATACAGTAAATCTTTTTCTCCGCAAGTTGGTTTTGGGCACTGTTTTATCACAGCAATACAAAGTAACTAGGACAGAAATTGGTACCATGAGCAGGGTATTGCTGTAGTGGACCTGATCATGTCTGCGGGGAGATTGTGGAAGCATTTGGAACTTTGGGCTAGAAAAGCTGTTGAGTGCTCAGAGCTCAGTGACCTGCTCTGTTCTGTGGGAACCTGGAAGATAATGCTGAGAAAAAAAATGGAGATGGCAGAGACCTGGCTGATGAAGTTTCTGGAGGAAGTTTGAGAGTCCCACAAAACTCTCTGGGCCATTTGTGTGGTATTTTTAATTGAGAATCTATGGTTTCTGGTTGGCTGGGGCTAGAGAATCAACTGTGATTAACAAGAAACCAGCACCATTGAAGTGAAACCTTTGGTGAGACAATCAGTGCTGCTTAGCTGTGAAAAACCAACTGATTAAGACCAGCATCACCGAGGTGTGTGATCTTCTGGGAGGTATTTCCTCAGGGTTAACACACTGAAGCTGTGGGTCCAGAGGCGGTCAAGGCTGCTATCTTAAGTCAAGCTTGGCAATATGCAAGAATCTCCCATGTGGTTTTGGTGACACCAAAGCTGCAGAATTGAAAGGGTTGAGAGACCTAAGTGACTCCATCTTGGATAAAACCTCCATAGGACTGACCCAGCCCTGGACCCTGTTCTAAGAAAAACCACAATACTTGGAACCGATAGAGAACAACTCCCCCACCAATGGTCAATTAACCAGGGACAGGAAGGTACTACAAGTCCAGATATCTTTTCAGATTTCCTGAAGCCAGCAGTTTATGGTTTGGCACTGAACAGACACTGGCCAGGCTGAAGATCCCCTACTCCCCTACTTACTGAACTTGCTGAAATAAACCTGTCACCGCTAAGTCGGTGACAGAGTAGGCCCAAGCTTAAGCTTGTAACAATAAAAGAACCCTTGTGTGTTTGCATCGGTCGGCTCCTTGGTGGTCTTTGGGGGTCTCGTGAACTGGGCACAACATCTTGGGGGCTGGTCCGGGATCCCTAAGACCCCCCCCCCAGGACCCCCGAACCGGAGGGTTCTTGGCCAGCTGGTGTCTGTTTCTAGTTGTACCTGTCTGTGTCTGTCCTAGCTTTTGTTCTGAGCCTCGAGGCAAACTTGTGAACAGTGTGGTCAGGAGCGGTTGGAGTGGACGTGCTAGATGACCATGACCACAGAGGTCTGGAAGACATTCCAGACCTCGGCAGAGGGGACGGAGGCCCCCGGACTCTGTTGATTCCCGTGAAAGGACAAGGCGGGTCGCTCCGCTCCCGCGGCACTGCAGTTTGCCGCTGTCCTACTTTCAGTTTTTCTTCAGCACCAGTGGGAGAATTTGCTACTTGGCCTTCTGTGTGTCTTTCTGGCTCTCTGTTTTGTCTTTGGTTGTCTATTTCTCTGTGACTGAGATGGACGCAATGGGACAGATTCCCTCTACACCCCTGGACCTGGTTCTTGCACATTTTGGAGAGGTTAAGACTTGAGCCCGTAACTTCTCTGTTGTTGTCAGGAAGGATAAACTAATTACTTTCTGTAGGTCTGAATGGTCCACTTTCAATGTGGGATGGCCCTCAGAGGGGACCTTTGATCCTGCTGTCATTAACACGTTTGAAAAAATTATTCTTCAACAAAATATGGTACACTTGGATCAAATATCATACATAATGGTCTGGGGAGATTTAGTTAATAACCCCCCTCCTTGGGTCAAGTCTTTTCTTCCTTTACAGAAAACTGAGGTGCTAATGGCTGCAGAACAGAAAACGACAACCCAGAAAGCACCTAAGCCTGAAACAAAACCGTCAGTACCATCACTGTATCCTATCTTACAAGGCAGCACAGAAAAAGATCTAATTTTTCCTCCTCCCCCATCCACCTCCTCCACAGGAGGTACCCCCTCCAGAACTGGCACCCCTGGTACCAGATTCTTCACAGGCACAGGGGGGACTGGCTCAGGGGACTAGGAGTAGAAGGGCAGCAACACCAGAGGGTCCAGACTCTACTGTTCTACCCCTCAGAGTCACTGGACCCATGGATGAGGCTGGCAACCAGCCCCATCACTATTGGCCATTCACCGCTAGTGACCTTTACACCTGGAGAACCCAGAATGCTCCCTTTTCTAAAAATCCTAAGGAGCATATTAATTTATTAAAAACTGTCTTATTCACACACCAACCCACTTGAGATGATTGTCATCAATTATTACAGGTCCTGATTACCACAGAAAAAGGAAATGTATCCAAACAGAAGCCAGGAAGTTAAATTCCTGGCAATACTGGTGTCCGTACTACTGACCCGACACTGATGCTGCCTATCCACTGACCCAGCCTGACGGGGATTATAATACTGCAGAAGGTAAGGGGAGGCTTCTGGTTTACCGCCAGGTTCTGTTGGCAGGTCTCAAAGTGGCTGCTTGTAAGCCAACTAATTTGGCAAAGGTATACGATATTAGTCAGGAACTAACTGCATTCTTGGAGTGAATAATGAATGCCTTCTGCGGGTACACTCCATTAGATCTGGAGGCCAAAGATAATATAGTGGCAGTGGCCATGGCTTTTGTTAACCAGTCGGCTCCGGATATAAAGAAAAAGCTCCAAAGAATAGAGAGACTGGGTGAAAAAAGCTTAAGGGATTTAATAACTGTGGCCAAGAAAGTGTACAATAATAGGGATAGTGCAGAGAAAAAAAAAAAAAAAAACAGACAAAGGCAGAAAGGAGGCAGAACAAGGACCTGGTAAGGAGCCTGCTGGCTGCCACTGCAGATCCAGAGGACCGGCAGAGGTGTCTGAGACAGATAGCATTGGGGAAAGGAGTCTCTTGCAGTATATGGGTGACCTACTACTTGTGGTGGCAGACAGCCAAGAGGCTTGCATGGACAGCACAGAACACCTGTTGCAGACGTTGGGAAGCCTAGGCTATCGGGCCTCTGCTAAAAAGGCCCAACTATGCAAACAACAGGTCCAATACTTGGACTATATACTCAAAGAAGCACTACTGGTAAAAGATGCTGACAAACTGACTTTGGGCCAGAACTTGACCATCACCACACCACATGCAATTGAAGGAGTTTTAAAGCAGCCCCCAGACAGATGGCTAAGTAACGCCTGTATAACCCATTATCAGGCATTACT